GGGATGAACTCCAGTTGCCTGCAGAGCTGACCTGCTCATTAGCACTCTCAGTCCTGGCTCCTTCCTTCTCACTCTCACTTCCCCTACCTGATGATATGGCAGACAGTGTGTTATGAACTGTCCTTCCAAATTCATGCATCGAAGCCCTAATCCCCAATGTGATGGCATTTGGAAGTGGGGCTGTTGGGAGGTAGTTAGGTCATAAGGGTGAGGCCCTCATGAGTAGGATTAGTGCCCTTATAAGAAGAGGCATGACAGCACTTGCCTTCTCTCTCTGCTCTCCACCATGTGAGGATAAACAAGGAGATGCCTGTTTGCAAGTTTGCAAAACACGAAGTGGGCCCCCACCAGACACTAAATCAGCCAGGGTCTTGATCTTGGACTCTTTGGCTTTCAGAACTGTAAGAAATAAATATCAGTAGTTGAAGCCACCCAGTTTGTGGTATTCCTTTATAGAAGCTCAAGTAGACCATGACAGAGTCTGAGGGAGGGCATCTCTCAGGAGGTGACATTCGAACAGACACCTGATTTTGAGAAGGGACATACTGGAAGAGATTTCCAGGCAAAAGATCCACCACTTAAAAAGTCCTGGAGGTGGGAAAGGGCTTGGCATATCCAAGGCATAGAAATGGGCTTGTATGGCTACAGTTAGAGGGGAGTGGAGGAGGAAGTGCTTGGAGAGGTGGGCATGGGTCAGATCCCTATGGAGAGGCATGGATTTATTCTAAGAATTATGGAAAAACAGCAAAAGGTCCCAAGCAGAGGAGCAATTTGACCTGATTTATGGTTCCAGAGCTCAGTAGCAGACCTTTCCAGAAAATGCAGAAGCCAAGGCAGCCCCTTTTGGTAGGAGGCAACACAAGGTCCTAGGTATCCTCCAAGAAGTTCCTCTTGGAGGGGAGTCTGACCCTGAGGGGACTCAGTGCTTCCATGCACTGTGCAGAGCCACCAGCCCTCTGCAGACAATTTCCACCGTGGTCTGTTGCGTTCCTCCTTCCAGTCAGAAGGGGCTGGTGCACGTGGCCCTGGCTGGATAAAGATACTCTCACTGCTTACAAAACATATCTTGGGCCCAATTCTGTCTTAAGACCTTTAAAATTGGCAGCTACTTCATACCAAATCCAAAATGGATTCAAATGGGAAGAAAATATAAATCCACTGGTGGCATGCGCCGGTAATCCCAGCTACTTGGGAGGCTGAGTCACAAGAATTGCTTGAACCCAGGAGGCAGAGGTTGCAGTGAGCCCAGATCATGCCACTGCACTCCAGCCTGGGCAACAGGGCGAGACTCTGTCTCAAAAAAAAAAAAAAAAAAAAAAAAAAATATATATATATATATATATGAATATATAAATCCAGGATTAAAAAGATATTTCCCACACATCGCCCACATGAAATAAATGTCTTTTTGCACAACACTTTGTTAAAATTATTAGAGGAGGCCTCAGTAATATTTCCATGCCCAGGGGAAGAATTCTATTACAAAGGTGGACAAAATGGGCCCTTGAAAACTCCAACAAGGGATCCTGGAAATGGCAGAGGAAAATTGTGAGCTCTAGATGTAAAATAATTGAATAAAAGTGGCCCAGACAGGCAGAACAACTCAGCCCTCTGAGGAGTCTCTGTCACTGGCTTCCCATCAAAGGTAGGGAATTCTGTTGCAAAAGCAATTAGGTTGTTTCAGCCTTGGAACTAAGACGTCTGAAAATTAAAATAAAAGTATGGAAATCCAAAACCAATCAGTACTCAAAAGACTGATTAAGTCTGTCTTTAAACATACAGATGCTTGAGTAATATTATTCAAGTTATTATATTCATAGGATTCTGAGAAGTCTTATGACGTCACTACGCTTCATGCGAGGTGATTTTAAAGCTGTTTTCGGTGTGAACCAATGTGACAAGCATTTGGACAAACACTTTTGTCCCTCAGAAACACATGTTTATTGTAGTTTGAAAATGGTTTTAAAGAGTTGGGTCAGACATTATTTTAAAGGGTGAGTTTATCCTTACAGATTTTGCATTTCTTTCTCTGAATCACCCAGCCCCTAATCCCTCCTCCTAAGTTTAAAAAGATGATTTGACAATACAAATTACCTTCTTTGTTTTCCATTTAGCAGAGCTTGTGGTTTTTATAGGCATATAAACTGGTTTTATAACTTAATTCTCTACAAGTTGTGGCATGAAGAGAAATAGGCAGTGGCTATAAAAAATGTATGCTAAATCACTGCTAATTAAAAATGCAGCTATTGACCATGTTAACCAAACTAATTAATTGCTTTTCCATGTTATCATTTAATTAATTAATTAATTTATCCATAAAGGCACATTTCATTAAAAAAGACCATAATTTCAAGTGCACTGTGACTGTTGAAACTATAAAATCTTTCGGTAGTTTAAAATCTGAACAAGATCCTGAAATTTGGTCCATGAACTAAATTGAGTGTTTGCATGTGAAATAGATGCCTATGTACATGTGTCTTTATGAGATTGCTGATAGCAGATATTTTACTTCATTCTAATTTATTTATCCCGACATTAGAAACAGAGTTCGAGTTGCGGCATTATCAACCTTATAATCTTCTCTGTGCTGCAATTTCCCTCATAAACATGGGAATAATAATAGCAGCTCCTTGTAAAGTTGTTGCATGCTTATTAAAGGATCTAGAATTCACTTATTAAAGGATCTAGAATAGTGACTGGCACACAGTAACATTTAATACACGTTACTTATTTTCCCCAACCCCTAGCACCCAGTTTTTGTGCACGTAGTTAATGCTTAGTTACTGCTTATTAATTAATATTTTGGTAAAATATTAAAATATGCAGGCTTCTGTCTATATAGTGAACTATAGCTTAACTGGATGTAGAAGACGACTATAATCTTCCCATAACCAATAGCTGATACTCAGCCAATCACAGTAGCCATACTTCAACCACTCACAGGTGGCCAACTATTCGAACTCTGTTCAAATAAGGCAAATGCTCAGCTGTAACCAACCCAGCTGTTTCCGTATCTCACTTCCGTTTTCTGTACGTCACTTTCCTCTTTCTGTCCATAAATCCTCTTTGACTACATGGCAGAGCCAGCCTTGCTCTCAACATATTCTGGTTTGGGAGGCTGCTGTAATGGTGAATTGTTCTTTGTTCAATTAGACTCTGTTAAATTTAATTTATTTAGAGTTTTTCTTTTAACAATTAGTATCTGGCATGTCTTACAGTGAATCATGAATGGTGTGCTAGAGGTGGACGTAGTGACTTGTGAGAGCTGAATGTTAAAATTTCAGAAATGTTGTGAGCTGCTTTTAATCATGGCCATTATTCAGAATTAAATTACATAAATGTACAATTAAAGACATGATATTACATGCAAAAGTAATACTCAAAACTTATTTCCTCTTTACTTTACATTTTACAATGACCTTGAATTTACTAACATTTGCTGCATCTGTGTGGTGGACGCACTGTATAACCATGTGCTTCTGCACATTGCTTTCCAACTCCATTGAATGACATCATGTTGGCAGCTTGAACTCAGCCATGGAGGGAATATTTATGCCATTGAAATCAGCAAATGTTACCAGTCGGGGCTCCCTTAACTTGATTCCTTCCTCCCTGCAAAGCTGGTTGCTAAATATTTATCATCGCCCCACTGACTGAGCTAGGCCTGGAGAGGGGTAGTGGGTATGGAGGGGTGGATACCTTCAAAAAGTTTACCATTGGCCAGGCACGGTGGCTCATGCCTGTAATCCCAGCACTGTGGAAGGCTGAGGCAAGTGGATCATGAGGTCAGGAGATCGAGACCAGCCTGGCCAGCATGGAGAAACTCCATCCCTACTAAAAATATAAAACATTAGCCGGGCATGGTGGTGCATGCCTGTAATACCAGCTACTCGGGAGGCTGAGGCAAGAGAATTGCTTGAACCCAGAAGGCGGAGGTTGCAGTGAGCCAAGATCTTGCCACTGCACTCCAGCCTGGACAATAGAACAAGATTCCGTCTCAAAAAAACAAAAAAAAAAGTTTACCATCTCAGAGTCTACAATTTTTTACTGCTTCATCCCAAATTTTTCTTCATTTTTAAATTTTCACAATCCATTACATCAGGGAAAACTAAACCTATATTTGTGATAGTTCTGATCAAAAATCTGGATGTATTTCCTCTTCTCATTGCCTTTTTTTTGCACATAAATATTTAAATAGAAATTCCTATGATAATTAAGTGCTATTTTTCTTTCTTTTTTAGTTGATTGAACAATGTCTGAAGATTTGTGATAATACAGGTAGTTATGGTAGGCATAATGCAAAATGGCAGCAAATTAAGTACCACCATCCACCCAGTTATTCAAATTTCTCCCCTCCCTTCCCCTCCACAGCCTATTCAGCCGCAAGTCCTGCTAATTTTCTACCACCAAAGCACAGCTGGAATCCACCCACTTATCCTCAGGGCCAGCCCTCTCAGCCAGGCCTCTATCATCTCTTGTCCAGGGCTCCTTCAACACTTCTTAATTTTACTCTTGCCTTTCTCCAATCCCATTCTCCCCACAGTTGTGAGAATGGTCTTTTAAACATGCAAATCAGGCTACATCACTCCCACTTTGAAACCCATTTAGGATTGTGCTTTGTAGTAAGATTCCTTACCATGGCCCATAAGGATCTGCAAGAATCTGGCCTTTGCCTCTCTGCCTTACCTCACCTTTGGCCCTTTTCCCCAGGGTTCCTAAATTCCGGGCTCATTATTCTGGGAGTTCCTGGAACACATTCATTCTTTTCTGTCTCAGGACTTTTGCACAAGCAGGTCTGCTGCCTGCAACCCAACAGTCTAGGTGCATTCTGTCTTTCAGATATTAGCATCAAGGAGGTCTTCCTTGATCATCCTGTGTAAAATAGGCTCCTCCTCTTGCATTTGTCTTCACCACAGGTCTGCATCTTTTTCACTTACTATGTTTTTCATTATTTGTAAATATGTATTATTTGTTTATATAATTGTCTTTGTCTGGTTCCCCAACTAGAGCACAAGCTCCTTGAGCTCAGGGGTAATGTTCATTTTGTTTCATCAGATTATGCCCAAAGCCTTGCACAGGGCTGGAGACACAGGAGGCTCTTAGTAATGTTTTTTAAATAATATAAGTAGAGAGTTTATTTGGGCCAAGTGTGAGGACTGTAACCGAGGAGCATAGATTCATAATATTACTAGGAGCGCTGAATCTATGCTCTCAGTGATATTTACTGGATGAAGGATGGAAGTGTGACCATGCATGAGGATTTCTATAAGCCCAGAATTACATTTTGCTATACCCGCAGTTTCAAATGAAGATAACACTCGCTTTGCTTTTTTTCTTTTGATGTTATTACAGGAATTTATTTCCTGTTACTCACATGCATTTCTTCCCACTTTTATGCCTTTGCTTCTTGGTTTCCTTTTGCCTGGCATATCTGCTGTTCCACTACCACCGGTCATCTTAAGGTCTCATCCTCAAGGCACCCCCTTCATGAGCTTCTCCTGGTCGGCCCATTTGGATGTACCCTTTAGTGAACCTTGCTTCTCTTCTCTCTAATGCCTTCCTAATTGTCCTTACACTGCTGAATGTGATTGTAAACTTGAGTATATAAATTTTCCAGAGCCCACACAACTCTGCATCTCAAGGAATCCAGTAGCATGCTTTATAGATAACCCTGTCCGCAGTAAAAGTTGCTAAATTAATTTGTTTATGGTGAAAAACTGGAAAAATAGGTTAATTACTTAAATATTTCCAAATGTCCAGATGTTTATCTTTGTGTAGGAAAAAATAAAACTCTGAGTGACCAATTAAGGGTCTTCCTTTTTGTCCATGTGGGTTAGAATTTTTTAAACACAATCCCTTGCTTTGTTTCTTAAACATAATCCTTTCCTTGTTCAAACAGTGCAAATTTGCCTCTGTCTAGTGCTTCCTCTTAAAAAAAAATTTTTTTTTAATTTAGTGCCTTCTCTTTAAGAAAAGCCGAGGAAAACTAAAAATACTAATATCGGATAATAAATCTCATAGAGAGAAATCCCCTTTGTGCATTTTGGAGGAGGAACCAAGGCAAGCCTGCTCTGAGGACTGGCAGCCTCTCCATGCTGGAATCAAAGGGCAGGTGAGCTAGATTCCAGCCAGAAGCTTGCAACTCTGTCTCCAAATTTCAAAGAAGGCTAAAACTCATTGAACCCTTAAGACTTGCTTGCTTTTCCCTATAAATATTATACATTCATTTTCAAAGGGAGGAAAAACACAATGAAAAGGTAACACATAGGTACTGAAAAAAGTTAAGTAGAATAGCATTGGTTAAAGAATCAACCGAGCAATAAAGAAAATAACACAGAAAATTATCACACAATGTGGTCCAAGGCCAGTAGCATCAGCAGCTCCAGAGAGCTTACTTAGCCATGAAGACGCTCAAGCCTCACCATAGATCTCCTGAATCAGGATCCACAGTTGAACAAGATTCCTGAGGTGACTGGATAGACATTAAAGTTTGAGAAGCCCCACCTTGAAAAAAAAACTGGAACGGTAAGTGTAGTTATCTTCACCCTGAAGTCCATCTTATTAGCTGAGTTGCACTGTTTACCTGCCTTCTGGTTACAATGTAGCCATTTCCTTACTAATCCCACTTTGCAGTATCCCTCCTTCCCTTTGTCCTTTGCAGTCCTCTATGCCTGTGACTGGCATTGGAGACTGTCATTCAGACTCAGTTTTGTTCACAACTATGCTGCCAGCTGCCTAAATGAGCCTAGTGAAGCCACTTAGTTTCTGAGCACTTCTGTTTACTTTTCTTTACAAAAGACATAATGGTGCTGGACTACCCAGAGCTTAAATTAATTAATGTTTATAGAGCACTTCAAGCCTCGGGATAATAGCCTCTTTGAAAATGTATGTAATTATCATTATGGCTAATGAAGCTTGCTCTTAACTCCTCCCCCTCACTGGGAAGGCAGGAAGCTGCCTTTGGTAACATAATCCAGATTAGGTGGAAATTTACCTGCAATGTCAGTTTTCTTCTTTGGCCACTCTGTTGGTGTTTTCAGTTTTATTTCACTTTATCTTACTTTATTTTGTTTTATTTCATTTTTTAAACTACAAATAGGATTTAGATAAATTAAGTCAAGTGGATTCATGAGAAAATAAAACATATTTTAAAGGCAGTGCTTTTTCCAAACACAGATGTCACATTCCCATTGTTTCCTTTGTTGGTAAGTGGTATTTAGCCTCAGAGAGAGAGAAGCTTCACTAGCAGGTGACTTGGAGTTTATAGTGATGGTTTTAATGCTGTAGAGGTTTATTATGTAGGCTTAGGGATGACTAACTTCCAGGATCACAGTCTGAGCTAACTGCAATAGAGATGACACCCTTTGCAGGTTCTCTGCTCTAGCATAATTGCAATTCAAAGGGACAGATCCCTCTCCAAATGGTGAGCACTCCACAACAACCGATGGTGCTGAAAGGGTGGCCCATTCATTTGATACAGGTGATGGTACAACTGACACTTGGCACTGACAATTTCACATCACTTTTTATTCATTACTATGGGTTATGTCTCAGATTGTTGTTAACCTGATTTCTGAGATGATGAAGGAATCAGATGTGGAAAGTCAATGCAGTAACCATAGTACCTTTGTGAATTTAAAGTGTTCTGTTTTGTTTGTTTGTTTGTTTGTTTGGGGAAATCAACTTATATTTATGTGTATTAGGAGAAACTTGCTACTTTATCTATTTGGAATAATTTTAAACAGAGAAACGTTTGTTTGAAATGATTTTCCAAGGATAAATCCGTGTTTGTTAACTGTGAGATAAACCTATGTAAGTGGAAAAGTTATTGAGTCAGGCCTTGGCACTAGTGCAAAAGGTGTCAGGTCAACACGGCTGGTTGAAGGAGTGACTCTATGGCACAGGCCACCCTTGGAAGAGACAGAATAATTGAAATAAAGTGCAAGCCATGACTTGACATGTAAATCCCTAGATTTGAGCACCATCCTGGCCGCTTCTTGAACATAGGCTTCACCCTCTTCATTTCCTTTGTATCTCCCCAGAAGGGTTTAAGATTCAACTGTTCACTGAAAATCTTAGAGTCCTAGAAGCAAATACACAAAGTCAGTTTTGAACATAAATATAAATAAATATAAAGGGCATTGGTCACCCTAAGAAGCATTCCTGGGAATCTCCCTTGTACCACAGGATGAAAAGCGGTCCCTTCCTTCAAGGGGCTTGCAAATTAAATGTAAAAACAAGATAAACAGATTTATGTTTGTCTTTGCCACTAGAGGAGCTTTATGAGGGCAGGAGGCAGGTCTAATGTTTCACTCACTATTGGGTAGTAGAAGCACAGAGTGTATTTTTTGAATGCATGGAGGGAGGGAAGGAGGAAGGAAAGAAGAAGAAAGGAAGGAGGGAGAAAGGAAGGGAGGAAGACAGGCAATGAAATAAATGATGCATGTTATTATTCAAATATAAGCCAGTTATAAATAATAAGGAGAACAATGAGCATTTGGCTTTGTGAAATGAGGTAAAAATTAGTGGCAAAACAAAACAAAACAAAAAAAAGGGAAAACAAGAGGGCCAAATGTGGTGGCTCATGCCTGTAATCCCAGAACTTTGGGAGACTGAGGTGGGAGAATTGTTTGAACCCAGAAGTTCTAGACCAGCCTGGGCAACAGAGCAAGACCCCATCTCTAAAAAAAAAAAACTCCAAAAAACAAACAAAAAACCCCCATTTTGCCAGGTATGGTGGCACATGACTGTGGTCCTAGCTACTTGGGAGGCTGAGAGGGGAAGATCGTTTGAGCTCAGGAGTTGGAGGCTGCAGTGAGCTGTGATCTTACTACTTGCACTGCAGCCTGGGTGACAGAGCAAGACCTTGTCTCAAAAAAAAAAGAAAGAAAGGAAGGAAGGAAGGAAGAAAGGAAGGAAGGAAGGAAGGAAGGAAAGAAAGAAAGAAAACAAAACAAAACAAAACAAAACCCAAGAAAAACAATGAACAGAGCAGTGGGGCCAGTTACAGGCATTTAGACATGAGGTAGGAAAACAAAGTTACCCTTTATCAGATCATATCCACATAATTAAAAACTGAAAAACATAGTTAATAATCCAGATATTGCCTTGCCTATAGTAACAATACTGTATTGTTCACTTCAAGATTTGTTAAGAGGGTAGATCTCATGTTAAATGTTTGTAGTGGACTGAATGTTTGTGTCCCTTCAAAATGTATGCTGAAATCCTAACCCTCAATGTGATGGTATTAGGAGGTGGGGACTTTGGAGGTAATTAGGTCATGAAGATGGAGCCCTCAAGAATGCGATTAGTGCCCTCATAAAAGGGACCCCAGAGAACTCCCTTGCTCTTTTCCCTACCATGTTGGGATCCAATGAGAAGTCAGCCATCTGCAGCAGGGAAGTGGGCCCTCCTCAGAACCCGACCACATTGGCACCTCGATCTCAGACTTCTGGTCTCCAGAACAGTGAAAAACAAATTCCCAATATCTAGAAGACGGAAAATAATTCCCATTACTTATTTATATGGTACTTTGTGATTATAGCCTGAACTAAGACACATTTCTTATTACAATAAAAAATAAATCTAGATATTCCAAAACATTTGTTACATATGAAGAGTAATATTAAAATATTATGCTAAAATTTTACAGGCTTTTGACAAAGACTGGTGGAAACTTTTAGAGAGGTTTTTCTGTTTATATTCAAGATAGACGGTAAGTTTTAAATTTATTCTTATAGGTAATTTCTGTCTTAGGAAGGGCATAATTATGATAGTATGTACATAAAAATCATACTCTTCTTTTTTCTTCATTTTAACAAAGTATTTTGCAGTGAGGATATCCAAAATCAGGAAACATAAACAGGTAAAGTTTAAACCGTTATTTAAAGCCTTTTTATAAATCACTAGCCAGGGTAGAATTTGAACTCTAGGCAATCTGGATGTGAGTTCAAAATTCTACACCTTCTCTGTTCCTTGAATATGAAAAATCTAAGAAGGGAGAAAATGACAATTTATCTCATAATTTATGGAGCACTGCAGTTGCCCAACCCCTGGCTACTGGCTTTCTGTACAGGACAGAGCCAATTCAGGGCAAAGTATAAGTAGGTTTTGATTCAGTCTGGACAAAGTCTTTGAGTCTTCAGACAGGCAAATCTAAAAATAATTGTTGTGAGTGAAGAGTGAACTTCTATTCATCTTAATGGCGTTGCTAGCTACGAACTTAATTGTATCACTTATATAACACTGCTAGCCATTTAATGGTAGTTATGGGATTCAGAGGCCAGCAATTAGAGGTGACTTCTAGCCCAGCACAGTCCCTTTAGTTTCTTGATTGCTGTAATGACTGTTGCCTAAGCAGAAGGTCAGCTAGAGTCTTTTTGGCCCCAGTCAATCACGTTAGTTACTGAATCATTAGTTTCCTAATAACCAGCAAATCTTCTGGTGAGCTAGGTCTGTGTTAGGTGGGTTGGTCACGCTTACCAGATGAAACAAATAGTCTTACCTTTCTGATGGTACTGTCATAAAGAGAACCACAAAGCGTAATTCGGTAATGGCCAGTGAACAAGTTCTGTTTCTTTTGTGGGTTGCACCCCTGCCTCCAGGGGGATGTAGTCCAGCTCATTAACCTGGTCACACTCAAATGGGGTGGAGTCGCTATAGATAGGGGAGCTCTCAGGAAAACAGAGCTCATAGTCCCTCATTCCTTTATTCCTTCATCTATTTATTTCATCAAGTATATTTTCAACTCTACTATATGCCGGAGTAAACCTGGCTGACAAGATCCCTGGAACTTACAGTATAAAAGTAAACAATTGGTAATTTACTTGTACAATTGCAGTGAGTGACAAAGTGCTTTGATGACAAACAGTGCTATGAAGTTGATATGGGGATTATTTTAGGTCTACACTGAATAATGGAGATATGATGTGGGCTATAAACATGGGCCACATATGTATTTTTAAATTTTCTGTGAGTATATTGAGAAAAGTAAAAAGAAACAGGTAAAATTACTTTTAATAATACATATTTTAACTCAAAGTATCCAAAAGATCGTTTCAACATATAATCAATATTAAAATGATTAATAAAATACTTTAGATTTTTTCATATTAAGTCTTCAAAATCCAGCCTATCTTTTACATAGGTGGCACATATGAAGTGTGGAACGTCCTTATGTGGCTAGTGGCTACTATGCTGGACAGTGCAGTTTTACGTGAAGTTCTTTCTACTACCCAAATAATGAGAAAGAGCCAGCCACGCAGAGGTATGCACTCCAGATAGAGGGACCAGCTGGTACAAAGGCCCTGAGGCAGGGTTGTTATTAACCAAATTTGAATTTAATTGTGAAATAAGAAAACAAATATAGCTAACAGTTCACTTTTTAATACTTGTATACAACACTGCTAGATGGTTTAAAACTATTCTTTCAAAATACTCGCATAATAGGCCATCATTTCTTCTGGGCCTAGATGAAACGGCCAGTTCAGTTTGACGGTTAGTTTAATAGCTTGGTCAGTTTAATGGCTTGAAATGGTCAGTTTAATAGCTTGGTTGCAATAGAAATGAACTCAGCACAAAGCAAAACTTAGGAAAAAATAATGGCTAAGTGAATACATCTTGAATGTGTTTTTTTTTCTTTTGCTTTCAAACACACAAATTTGTCATGGCCTAGTGTGTATTTTACTGATAAATATGCTAATTGTAGGTTCTATATTCTAGTAGCGTTATCTATTCTCAGGGCAGGACTTTGTGAAAAATACACTTGGGTATCATTGCGTGTGTTTTATCCTTTCTGGAGGCAGGTCATGCTTGACCCCTCAGTTAGCCCAGCAGCATGATAAATTAACTAGAAACAAAGGTATGCTATGCATAGAAAATGAAAACACACAGAAATAACTTCAAAAGAATCATTGTGTGTGTTTCAAAATAAAATGTCTGGAATATACTTTTCTTGTGAAATTAGCAATCTCATATTCACGTGATTCTAGTTTGCTCGATGTCTTCATTTGGGCTCCTCCAGAAGCTGATCCTGAGACAATGATATGAGTGCAAGAACTTTATCTGAGAGGTGGTCCCAGTAAGCAGGGGTGGCACTAAGACTGGGATGGAAGGAAGCCAACATAAGATGTGATAGCAAGCCAGTTACCATAGTGGGCACCCGGAGTTTAATCATGCTGTGCCACTCTGTGATCTGTGAAAAACATGCCGGAATGAACCCATCTCGGAAGCAAAGAACGATTCCTCAATTCTGTCACTCACAGGCTAGCCTGATCCAGGGCTAGGGAAAAGGATGTTAATTCCCTCGTCCTTGTGACTTGACTTCCACATGGACAGAGAGGGCCAGTGCCTAGAGAAAACACTCAGGCAAAGGGACGTAGATGCCTGCCACTGGAAGTTGCATGGTGCAAACAGGAATGGGAAGGCCGAGTCAATCTAGGCAGGTCATGCAGCAGCTGCCCAGTGTGTATAATGGAAATTCATCCAGAAGCTTAAATTTCATTGCTGAAAATTTTAATTTACAAAGTATCTGTATTTATATTGTTAGGTTGGCATAAAAGTAATTGTGGTTTTTGCCCTTAAAAGTAATAGTAACCTAATATTTAATCTTTTTAAGGGTGCCAAGGCATGGATTGAGTAGGTTTTACTATTCATATGTTATAGAAGAAGAATCCAAGGTTCATGGGGTCCTGTCCTCACAAATGGTAGAGAAGCAATGCAGGAATCTTGATCTGGTAGAAATTGTAGTTGCTGTCAAGGCACGCCAGGCCACCCCCTCTCTTGTAGCTATGCATTTTACATTTTAAATGAAATTCATCCCATCACTAGTTACAGGGATGAGTCTTAGTTGGTTGAAGCCAGTCAGATCATTGTGCTGTTATTGCCACAGTGATTGGTTCCAGGGTAAGCTTGTGATTAATTAGGATTCAGTCAGAACAAGGTGAAACATGGTAGCAAACTAAATGGCTGAGATAAGAACAAGGTATCTCTTTATCTCTTTGTAAAATTTTAAATATGTATGATAAAAAGATTAGCTTTGTAATTGTTGGCAGCCATCATGTGAGCATGAAGCACTCTCCAGCCTTAGGGTGAAATTGATATAGATGGCAGAAAAGATGAATGGAAACACACACACACACACACACACACACACACACACACACACCCCTTCCTTGGTGACATTGTTGACTCACTGGATCAACCTCTGCTCAAACTGAGAAACTCCTTTTATTGCTTACGGAAGCCATCTGGAGTTGGATATTCAATTCAACCATTTGCAATTGAGAATGTTTTACTGGACTCTTGGCTTGGTACTCTACACCAAATGCCCTAAGTCATGCTAGAATGATATAAATTAAACCTCTTGTATGCAAAACCTAGAGGGATTTTGCATGTCATTTGCACAATGTATTCACCTAAATTATGTTTTTTCCCTTGAGCCATATGTCCTAATCCATGGAAACACATAGTCCAGAACACAGCTCAGGGAAGGGAAAAAGTGTTCTGTAGATGAAGTTGTAAGTGAATTTATGGCTTGTCTAGATAATCTTCAGTAAAAACATTTTTTGTTGTTGTTGTTTTTTGAGAAATCAAAAACTTAGACAACAAAAGAAGGAAAAGCAAAACTGATGATATTTGGACAATTACATTTTCTGTTTTCATTTGGATATGCAATGGTAGCCACTAAAAGGAAGTTGGTCTACCATTTTCTCTATCACCTACATAAATTATATAGATTGAAAAAGCAAAATACAAATTTTCCTAGCCTACCTTGCCTACATAGGCTTTTATGTAATATAGTTCTGCCCAATGAGATGTAAACAGATGTCTTCTGAGGGAATTTCAGGGAAAGCGTTTACTTTCCTCTGAAGGTGGAACATATACTATCAGCATGCCACTGTCCTATTTTCTTGTCTTGAATAAGGATATGAGGTCCAAAACGATGGTGGCCACTTTGAGATAATGAGGCAACAGATATAAGGACAAATGCTAAAGGAAGTGGAATGAAAAGAAAGAGGTAGTCTGGCTCCTTGATGACACTGTTGAGCAGCTGAACCAACATAAGAAAATGCCCATCTCTGGCCTTTCTCTTAGGTGAGAAATCTAAACCCTAATTTGTTTAAACCAGTGTTTATACAGTATTTTCTTACTTGCAACCGAATGCATTTCTAACTAGTGTATTCAACTACCTTAACAACTCTTTGAATATCTAGAGCTCTTTCATATTTTTGCTCTGTGTGTTTTTGTATGTTTTGATGGATGTAGCTTGACTCAGGTCAGTGACTTTGTCTTTTTTTTGTCTGTAAAAGAAATGCCCATTCTTTTGTGCCTTTATTGTATATTGAGACCATCTGGGGACCATATCTGGGTGTTTCCACTTACCACATCTTTGATTTTTTTGCCCACACTGATAATCTTTGCTTTTTAATTGGTGCATTTAGACTATTCTGATTTAAGTGATTAGTGATATAATAATCACATTAACAGC